AGGAGATCTACATCTTTGCATAATCTCTGGTCCTTTCTGTATTGTTTTTACTCAGAGACTTCCCACAAATCCGTTTTTCCCATCTTTTATAACTTTAACAATAGTATATGTATTATTGACATAAAATGTAATATCTCCGTGCTCATTCCCCGACTACCTTTAGCTAGATCAATGCTCTGCTCATGGGATTTATAAATGCCCCTAGCTCATTTCAGAGTTGAATCACCATGAAGGTCTGGAAACATTTTTCTAAATGTCTTCTTAAACAACCAGCCAGTCCAAACTATGTACCTTACCTAGAAACTCTGCTGGAAGGAGGAATTAATTATGCATGGCAGAATAACACAATACCATATCAGGTCTTCTCTCTCATTAGATGAGTAAGAAGAGGTGATTTTGTGTGTTCCAGACTGTTACAGTGCAGGGTATACTGACTGAGAAAATGAATGGCAATGTTAGGAGATGCAGACAAAAGGACATGGGATGAAATTACAGAAAGTTAATGGAGGCGGAAGGATCAGGTTTTCTATGGGAATCAGAATAGTCATGGAAAAGGGAGAATATCAGGTGACTGGACTGGCTGTCTTAGTAGCCAGAAATAATATTGCATCACAGGTGGGAAGACCCTGAACTTGTAAGCCCAGCTGTGATTTGTAAAGGAGAGAGGTTGACTGAAAAGGAGGAGTCTAGGGAGGTCAGTAAATGTCAGCATGTTTGTGGCATTAGTGTCACAACATGTAAGATCTGGTCCTTGAAGATGTGAATATTTGATGTCATGTATTCCTCTGTACCATTTTCAGGTTTACTTTTATTTTTACCACCACACATCTCTGGAGTACAATGTTAATACAGATAATTCTGTCAAAACTATCCCTTTCAAAAGAATAGTTTGTTGTTATCCAAAGTGATAGGTCTCAATGCACTAGAGAAAATAGTCAGGGGTATGGATTCAGATCACATAAAATGAAATAAGCAATGTCTTTCCACTTTTGCAAATGATATAATAGAAACAGGAAAGTGCTAGACATTAAACACTTTAAAACAGAATAAATTGAATAGAATAATATTTTTATTAATATTTTTATCAATAATAAGAACATAATAGAATAGAATAATAATTCTTTTATTAAATAAGATACATATAATATGGGGATACTTAGACATATTTTACTGGTTCTATGCAGCCAGCCCAGTCAGTTTTCTAGTGCATGATATCTTAAAAGTATGTCAGATAATAAACAGCTGTAAGGTTTTTTAATAGTAGGTATTTCCTCAAAGCTGGGAGTCCAAATACTTTACTTATCTTTCAAAAATGTAGACCCTGCATTTTTCTAATTATTTTCTCCATTCATATTAATTCCTTGAACAATGAGTACAAATGAAGGATGCTGGACTTGCCATGTGGACTGTGTTCTTTAAAAACTGCAGGATAAGTAAAAGCACACAGAATGCAGTCTGTAAAGTGACATGAAGAGTTTTCCTCAAACTTGACATGGTCGGGATCACATACTTCCTAAATCATCCCACGCTGTGCAGGCAGTTACTGATGATCTTAAGGTTTGACATGTTGATGGACAACAACTGCAATTATCAGCCTATGTCATGTTAAATTCCAGACCACTCCCAACCCACCCTGTGGTCATTAACAGTAGGATACTGAGCATTTCTCCTACTTTTTTATTAGTTTTATCTATTCCATGGACATTGATGCAGGGTCAAATCTTGCCCAAGTTAGTGGGATTGTTTGCATAATTAATGACACATGGAAGTGATCCCTGATAAAAAATAAACTATATCATTTTCAGAGAAGATCTGCCTGCCTAGAGCAAAGCCATTAATGCTAAATATCTTATAGTATAGGAAACATAATAAAAATTAGGAAGGTTTGAGTTCAAGTGGAAATCGCTGGAATCAGGATGCTTTAAGACAGTCATAAATTTCTCATCTACAACACCTGCAGTGTGCACATCATTTCAGCTACCCCTTTCATGAACACAAAGGGTCATGCAGTCTGGACTGTGTAGTAATTTTGTGATGTGAGTGCTAATGTTTTGATATCTACTGGTAACCTAAAGCTGAAGGTTTTATGTTGCTTTTTTATGCAGTGATGCAGGTTTGTGCTTGAGGCTATCACTTGCAGAGTAGGACGTAGCCTAAAGCAGAAGACTGGGAGTGCAGAGCTTGAAGTTTCCCTCAGCCAGTAGGAAATTTCAGGCATGGACATGAGTTTTAAGGTATTCCCCTTGCATCCTATCACCAGATACCTGAGAGAGGTAACAGCACTTTCCCCTCTACTCCAAACCATGAGGAAGTTTTAGATAGCAATGAGGTCTCCTCTAAGCTGAACAAACCAAGAATTTTAAGCCATTCCTCACCAGTGGTGGCCTGCAGTCTTTTCACCATTTTTGTTGTACTCCTCTAGACACATTCCAGTATTTTTACATGGTTGGCTCCTTTTTCCACCAGGGCACATGGTTGAGTCATATTGAGCTTACCATCAACCAAAAGTGCCATTTCCCTTCCCACAGAGGAAGACTGCACTCCCAGTCTACACATAAAAGAATATTAGAACGATAGCATCACAGAGCAATTTACATTGGAAAAGACCTCTGAGATGATCAAGTTCAACCTTTTACCTAGCACCACCATGATCTCTTCTAAACCATGTCCCCAGGTTCAAGCATTAACATGCCTTTTGAAAGATATGACTTTCCTGTCATGGATCCATGTTGGCTTTGACTGCAGGTGCTTAAACCCTTAGGTACGCATTGAGCAGGGATTTTGAGTTTTTTCCATACAAAACACATTGGATAAGTGCTCAAAGGGACATGCATGAGAAGTTTGTGCACAGAAAGCCATTAAATTAGACTTTTTAAGGTGAAGCTTTTCTTAAGTTCTTCACCATTCTTCCCATCCATTTAAGACTCTGTATTTGATTCACTGATTAATCATTGCAAACAGTTTTACAAGTGTAAATAAATTTGGCCACAAAATGCTGCAAAGTCTAGCATGTAAATACCAGCGGGTGAAGTATCACAGGAGACCAACATCTTTGCAGTGAAATATAGTTCCTGCTGACTCTGTTGTAACCACTAAACTGCTTCTACACATAACAATTTTGTATGTGGATTTAAATTACAGAACTAGGTTTTGCTTCTGCTTGCTAAGTGCTGATGGCACTTAGAAGAATAGAAGAATCTGCCTCTGAAGAAGCTTCTGGGTTTTAAAAGAGGGTTCTCTTAGAAGCACTTAATTTGAAGATTTTTTTCTAATTATATGTTGTTTTCTGAGTTTTATTTTCCTGTCCTTGCATTTTACTATTAGGACATTTATATGAATGCCAGATCTTATTTTCTTAAGTGATCGTCTGCTCTTGCTATTTATTCACCTTGTGAAATCATAATCTTTTGTATTGTCTCAGCACTGTAATTTCTGTGGCACCCAGCTGTCATGTCACATGCAGGTACTTACTTTTCAAGAGCTGTTTTGCTTTTAAATATAAAGTTCATCTCTCGTACAAATATCCCTTGTCTATATGTTTATATGCTGCAATTAACTTGGGACAGAAAAATAGGAATAATACTATATCTAGCAAGAATACTTATCAAAGGCTTCTGTGAGATAGTGGCAACTAACATTCTTTTTATACAGTTTGCTGAGGAGCATTTTGGTTCTAGTTCTGGGTTGTAATTACCTTCTGTGCCAAAAACATGAAAAGACCTTACTTTAGAAGTTGATTAACAACATGAAAGTTTTGTATCCTCATAAAATCTCAGGAGAGCCTTGGAGTTCTATTTTCTGCCTTGCTGTCCCTCCTGTAACAAGGACAACTATTACATTTCCTTTGAATGTGTGGAGCATTTAACCTTTTAATCCCCTGGCACTTGGGCCTTCTCTGGAAGAAGAGGTGGGAGAGATAGATGTTCCTTCAGTTCTGTGTGAAATTGTGGCTGCTCTTTGTAAACAGTAAGAAGAAAACCAGAAATGGGGAAAAAAAAAAAACAAATTAGAGTCTTTTTGCTCGTGTTTCATTAGTACTGCTGGCTTGGTGCCCACACCAGGAAAAAAAACAACGTTCTTTGAAAATTCAGGGTATTCATTAACGCCACATTAGGGACTTCAGATGGAGAAGGAATGCTCTGGCAAAGGTGCCTCCTTAGACAAGGGGTGCTTGGATGGCCGAGTAGGATTTGACAGTAATCTCTGACCACAGGATGAGGCACTAGGTCAGGTCTTTCAGAACAGAAAGCAGCGGCTTCAGCACAGAGGTCAATCTATTCATGTGTTCAGAAAAGAGAGAACTTTTAAAATTAAAATAGCAAGGACAGTCATCTAGCAGGCTAAATAAATTTCAATACTGTGCTCTGTCTTTCATAGTTACTCAAGCATCCTTCTGAAGCTCAGGCATGTGACACTGACTTATAAAACACATGACAAAGATAACAGAATGAAGAGCAGAGAAAGAAGCCTTAAACAGTGTGGGACACACTTCCCTGGTATCCACCAGGATTCTATTTCCTCTCCTTTTAAAGGCTTTTGAATGTGAATGACTTACCATAGTAAAAATAAGATGGTATTAGCCTAGGAGAGATTAGAAAGAGGAAAGTGAGGAATGAGCACTATGTCAGAGGAGGAGAGCTAATAGATCTGCTAAAGTTAGTGTGAATTGCCTAGGGCCAAGTTTTCAAAACAGTTGTACTTGTCCTGCAAGTAAAGTCCCTTTTCCCCCCTGAACTTTGTGGTCTTCAGCTCCAAATCTAAAAGCTGAAGGCTGCACATGGATGATGTAGCTGGCAGGGTTATTTCTCCAAATTTCAGCAAGCTGATAAACAAAAATCACATGCATGTGATTTTTGATAAACAAAAATCACCCTGCAAGACACAAAGCAACCTCCCAGGGGCACAACTTTGAATAAAGCAGTTAATGACAAGTAGCCTCCCCACCTCCCCACTCCTCCTTTGCCTTAGTTTGTTTAACCTCTGTATGCTGTCTATTGCAGGAGTGATCCGCGAGAGTTACCTGAAAGGTCATGATCAGCTGGTGCCAGTCACCCTGTTGGCCATTGCTGTTATTCTTGCTTTTGTCATGGGGGCCGTCTTTTCGGGAATCATAGTGTACTGCATCTGCGACCACCGCCGCAGAGACATGGCTGTTGTGCAGAGGAAGGAGAAGGAGCTGACCCACTCCCGCCGTGGCTCGATGAGCAGTGTTTCCAAGCTCAGTGGCCTCTTTGGGGATGCTCAGTCCAAGGAGCCAAAGCCTGAAGCTATCCTCACGCCTCTAATGCACAATGGCAAGCTGGCTACCCCAGGCAGCACTGCCAAGATGCTAATCAAAGCTGACCAGCACCATCTGGACCTGGCTGCCCTGCCAACCCCTGAGTCCACCCCAACCCTGCAACAGAAGAGAAAGCCCAGCCGAGGCAGTAGGGAATGGGAGAGAAACCAGAATCTCATCAATGCCTGCACAAAAGATATCCCCTCGATGGCCTCACCAGTGATTCCAACTGACCTGCCGCTCAGAGCTTCTCCCAGCCACATCCCCAGTGTTGTGGTCCTGCCCATAGCCCAGCAAGGTTACCAGCATGAGTACGTTGACCAGCCAAAAATGAGCGATGGGGCTCAGATGTCCGTGGAGGACCAGAACGCCACCCTTGAGTACAAAACTATCAAGGACCACCTCAGTAGCAAAAGCCCCAGCCATGGAGTTAACCTGGTGGAAAATCTCGATAGCATGCCACCAAAAGTCCCCCAGCGGGAGGCTTCCCTGGGGCCCCCGGGTGCCTCGCTGTCACAGAGCGGGCTGAGCAAGCGGCTGGAGATGCACTCCTCTGCTTACAACGTGGACTACAAGAGAAGCTACCCCACAAACTCACTCACGAGAAGTCATCAGGCATCAACCCTCAAAAGAAACAACACTAACTCCTCCAACTCGTCCCACCTGTCCCGCAATCAGAGCTTCGGCCGGGGTGACAACCCGCCGCCGGCCCCGCAGCGAGTGGACTCCATACAAGTCCACGCGGCTCAGGCACAGGCTGTGACTGTATCCCGGCAGCCAAGTCTCTCTGCCTACAACTCACTGACGAGGTCAGGCTTGAAACGCACACCCTCGCTAAAGCCAGACGTACCTCCCAAACCTTCCTTTGCTCCGCTTTCCACGTCCATGAAGCCCAACGATGCGTGTACATAATCAGAGGGGGAGGGGGAGCAGGAGGAGGATGGCAATTAAGCCGAAGTTGACATTGAAAGCCAGTGTTCTGCAACTGTTATCACACGTTCCTCTGAGAAGATGGTTGTTGCAAGCTGAAGCTGTGTTGGATTTCTGCTCTCTGGGAAAAGTGGAATATTTTTTTAAACCCGAGCCATATGACCCATGGTTGAAGGTTTGCAATTGCAGGATTCACCCCCACAACCTGCCAGTTCTTTGCTCAAAAGACTAACCCTCCATCAAAAACATTGAGCCAAAAGCACACAGGTGAAAATGACTGTGACATTTCACCCCCTGCCCCTAACTGCACAGTGCATTCCTGAACTGGGAAAGAGTGCTCTGAAAAGCAAAACAAATGTAAAAAAAACCACACACAGATGTAAAAAAAAAAAAAAAAAAAAAAAAAAAAAAAAAAAAAAAAAAAAAAAAAGAAAAAAAGAAAGAAAAAAATTAAAAGAAAGAAAAAAAAGAAAGAAAAAAAGAAAAAGATCAATTGATAAAGCTAACTCTAACTCTGACTTAACAATGGCAGAAGTTTACCACTAGCAGGTACTGTGAAATGATGCCCTTCAGTGTTACAGCCATTTGGTCATAGCAGTTAAATGCCGGCTTGGGCAAACTATGTCATAGATTTCTGCTACCCTTCTCTTTTAATGAATAACATGTGACTGTTAACACAAGTAACTCCTCTTATTTATTGTTCAACTTTGGTTTTTCCTAAGGAACTGACATGCATTATCATCCTGTGAGCAGCTTTTCAGAAGTACCTTGAAAGTTATACCTATTTAACGTGAAACCCATTAACTGGAGTAATTAGAACTCTTTTATTTTTCCAAGAAATTCACTGAGTTAGATAAGTTGGAGCTGGATTTCTGAACTTTGTGCCTGGACTGCCTGGTTAGCTGAAAAAAAAAAAAAAAGGGGATATCTATTTAAGTCTCTCAGCTAATTAGCTGGCTGGGCCTCTGACCTAAGACAGCAACAAATACCGCAAGTTCATAACTTCTAAAGCAGCTGCAAGAGAAACTTAAAAGCTGCACATCTGTGCACCATTGCTATCAACATGGCTTTGTCAGTAGCTAATACTTTCTGTGAAGGCACCAGCTTGTGATGTGCCATCTCATTTCACCTTGCATGTGAGACGGCAAACAAAATCCTCAAACAGTGTGAACTAGCTAATATGCCGGCTGTTACCATGCATAAATTATGGTCTTATCACACGGGTTTTTCGTGGGAATATATCTGTGAATAGCCTGTTTTCTTCCACATGTAAATTTGTGCCTTACACCCTCAGTTGTGTATATTTGTGAGCTGTAGTATGTAAAACCTTTTTCTTTTTCCCCTTTGAGTAATGCAAATATTTATTGATCTTCCTCCTCCTAGCCCCTTCAAAAACTGGAGTAAAGACATTGAAAGAAGAATGTGGTGGTTATTTTCATAACCCTGCATCCCTAAAGAAATTAGGCTAGCACCATACCTTCCAAATTTGACTTTCTAGCTGTGCCAAGTCCTCTCTCAAAACCACCCACAGGTAATGATGCTCCCAAGGCACCGTGCTGGGGGTTCTGCCTTCCCCCACCTCCCGCTCCCCCTTTACAACCTGTCAGTGTGGAGGTCATTCTCACTGGCAGCAGGAAAATGACTAACACGTTTGTCAATGGAGCTGGAACATCCCCTGGATGGGGACAGCACTGGTGAGAGGGGCCAAGCCCTGCAGAAAGCCCAGCCGCACATCCTGCAGCACGCAGGGCACATGGAGCTAGGACAGGCAGGCAGGCTCCTGCTGTGGCTACCTGCTGCTCCAGAAGGATGCTGCATATACTTCTTTGGGGAAAAACGTGGGGTTTTTTTTCCTTTGTTTCTTTTGTGTGACTGTGCATGTAGCTAGTGTGGGAGTGTGCGTGCGCACAGGTGTGTGCGTGTGTGTGCGCACGCAGGTGTGTAAGTTCCTTTCCAGTCTTTCAGTTTATGCAAAAACGTAGCTGTGTTTTTAATCTGTTACAATAACTGTGTCAACATACTGTAGAAAAATGATGGGGATCGCTTCTAAGCTTTTTATATATATATATATATATATATATATCTACTGAACAGTATGTTTGAGTAAGGTGGTTGTTTCTGTTTCAATTTGTTTTTTAAAATTTTATACTTCCATTTGTTTTTCAGGGTTTTGGTTTTGTTTCCGAATGGTTGAAAAGACAGATTTAAAGTCCACTAGCTTATAGATGGTATATATAAGGTCTGGATGGTCTACACCAAAGTGTGTAACAAGGGTGCTTGCATGTTCTTTCATTTCATCATGGCTTCTTCTATGAAACAGTTTTGTTCACCCGTAGTGAACTATGCAGACTGGAGTAGATAGATCTGTATCCAAAGCAATGTTGTTGTTTTAATAAAAACAAACTGAAAACCCTTTGAAAACAGTAGGTAGCAAGCTAATTTTTTTAAAAAAGAACCAACTTAACACCTTTTTATCAAGCTCCAACCCCTGAAGCAGAGTTCCCTTGATATTATCCCTCAAAACGTTGTCCCAAACCATGGAGATGGAAAATCATGGAAACAGCTTGTGCAGCGATCTGCCTTCACAACTTACACTGCAGTTACTGGGTTGACCTCGAAATGTTCATTTTGTATTCGGTGGGTCTTTTGTTTTCATCCTTTCCCAACCCCAGTTCCCTTCCACCCTCATTCTGTTTTGAGGGTTCATGAACCTATGTGTGCCTTTGCTTTCCACCCTTGCTATACACTGGTAGATGCAACAAATTCAGACTCTCATTTGTAAAGTTGTAAAGTATTGTGATGTCACCAGTTTCCCTTCATTTCCACATCCCCCTAACATATGATTCACAACTTAATGTCGGTTGTAAAAGGAAAAAAAAAAAGGCAGGAAAGGAAAAGAAAAAGGAGGAGAGGTGGGAAATAAAAGCTCTTGATTACATATGGTAATAAAACCAGACTGTTCTACCTTGTTTCTTGTTTCCTGGTTCTCTTGTTTCTAGATGATTCATCATTTTCCTTTAATAAATACAAATAGATGCAATACTGATCATTTCGATCAGGTTGCAGTGAGGAAGAAATTTGTTACTTTTTGCCTTTTACTTTAGTGTAAGGTGCTGGTAATTAATTAAAAATTAAATCACACATTTGCTCTCCCTCTATTCATATTTTGCATTTTGCTTTTATAATCTTGTTCATTGTCAAATATTTATGACAGACTTAATAGTTTAAAAAAGCAAGGCTGGGATTTAAGAACATGTGGTCCACCAAAATAGATCATCATACAGATGTGACTTCAATCCCCAGATTTTACATGTTAATAACAGAGTACCATATATTTTCTTTCAGCAGGCATAAATCCGTTGTGCTTCACAGGCCTGATTCAGAGGATGTTGTCTGAGACTTAGTCTGCAAGAAAATAGTAGTGAACAAATAATAACAAAATAGTGTAAAAGTAATGACTCCCTAGTCCTGAAAGTGACTAAAACATACCGGAGTTCTTCACCTTGTTTTTGTGTAAATGGGATCACTCATGCATAACCACTAACTACAGAACAAATAAACATTGGCTATGTCCATTACTAGGCTTAGTGGACTTGTTTTGTGAGAGGTGTAGGCATTGTGAAATGTGACCCCACAGATACATGGCATCTAATCCAGTAATTTACCCTTGTTCAGATCATATTTGGGCTTTTCTGCCCTGCCAGTACACTCTGTTCATGGACCTATTGCCTTTGTGATTTGTGCCACATAAGTGACACACAAATGCAGAGCATTGCAGACATCATTTTTCACTGCCTTGCCCACATACTTGCCTGTTTTTTTCTCAGTGCAGCTCCCTTCATGCTGGGCTTACTGGGCTGCAGGTGTGTGGTGTGCACAGGCAGGGAGGATTATATAGGTCTGCCAGGCCTGGGGCATGCCCCAGGGACTCTCCAGCCTGGGGACTGAGGGCACTCCATGGTTACACAGTGCTCCACTCTCTGCTGCGTTTGACCCGCATACTCCCAGAGCTGCAGCAAATGGGAAAGCTCTCCAGGTGCTTAGGGACCTCCATTGTTTTCATGTCCTGTAGCCAATCCTTTGTGAAATTCCTTTGTCTATAATGTGAAATGCTTTGTACAAGCACCATCTACAGAAGCTATTCAAAATTAATATACTTCTGTTTTAAAATTAATATAAATGTTCCTCCATAAGCCTGGAGAAGAGGGCCCAGTAATTCTCAGCAGTTGTGCGGGATGTCTCATTTTACACAGTTCCTTCATCTCTTGCCAGTGAAAGTCCATTTAAAACAGGCATGAAGGAGAGAGGGCAAGAAAGTGCCCTGGTGCACAAGCCACTTAGGGGCCCAAAACTTGCTGCCAAAGGGAAGGTTTGTACTTAACCCCTTAAAGCACTATTCCCTTGCAACACTTCCCCAAAGGTGCACTTCAAGATGGCATTTACAGATCCTCTGACAGAGACCTGCCTTACCTTCTGCAGGGCAGGAAGAATCAGGAGAGGAGCTGAAGGAAACACATTGCCCCAGTGTGGTCTTGGCCAGCCAAGCAGAGGGCAGGCACCCACAGCAGCACCCTGCCAAGAAATGGTTCCTCCACTGAGAACACACACCTCCCCACCCAGAGGAGACTGTGACACTGTGGTGGCTTTTGGCAGGGGTGGAGATCACAGAGCTACTCACTGTCTGTTTGAATCATGAGATCTGTCCCCTACAGGGGCTGCTGGTGCCACACTGCAGAAGTTCCCTGGGGCTGAGCATGGCAAACAAGAAAGCCAAGAGAAAGCAAGGATGCTTTGAGCACTTCACTCAAGTTAGTGTCATCTTAGTCATCGTATTAATGGTACTCACACTGACCTCATTTAGTGTGTCATTGAGGATGCATGGAAGTTCCCTTCCAATCAGCATTAATTTGCATACATATTTTTACACGAAATGGAACCCAGCTGAACAGCTCAAAACAATAGGTCTCTGTAAATAAATCCTGGTCCACTGCCCGGTTCCTCCTTTCTCCCTCTAACAATACATTTCGAACTACACAAGAGTGTCATTTCGAAGATAAATGCAAGTCCTTCCCCACTGAAGCTTCTACATCAGGGAATATTTTGCACCTGAAAGCTCCCCATGTGAAAAAAAGATGAGGCAATGGGGTCAAGCATGCGCAGTTCAGCCCACTTTGCTGCCAGCAGGACAGCCAGCCACACGACAGGTTTGCATGGAAAGCGTTGCCAGAATAAAGTGCCATAACAGTAATGCATCAGCACTAACAGTAGCACATCGTTCAGATGATGGCCAGACTAATTTCAGGGATGCAATTCCGATAATTCTTCTGCCACAGAATTAGCAGGCTGTTCTCTCCCTGGATTAGGCATGGATTTTTGCTCCCTAAATCTTGTTTATAAAGCATGTTTAAAGCAATGTGGAGGACCTCAAGTGCTAGTGTTATCCACCCCACTGCATTGAAGCAGGATCAAGTAAACCTAACCCATTCTTGATAACTGATTGTCTTACGCTTTCCCTGTAAATATATTTTACTCTGAGTAATGAAAGTCACCCAAGGGATCAACATCAAGCATTTCAGAGTGTCCAAAGAAAATTAAAAGATAAGAAAGTGAGTTGGACTGGCTTAGTTAAGGCCAGTTTTCTATTTATCCAATTAAAGTTAATTTCCCAGAAGCATGACACCTACTCCAATGAACAAGTGTTAGAGAGACACATTGTGTGTGTAATATTCATATGCTTCCTGCTGATGCATGTGTCTGCTAATGAGTCTCTAAGTAGTCTTTTTATTACTTTTTTCCCTTTCTTTTAAAAAGTGAAAATACTTCTCAGAATAACTACTAAGTCCATCTTCACATGCCTTGTGCAGAACAATGATGTGTTAGACATCTTTGTATGAATAGAAACAGGTAAATAGTCATATATCCCCTGACTGTAATTTAAACAGTGTAAGTCAGTAGGGAAAGGCTATAATTGGAGTTAGAGTAAGTGAGGTGAAAATTGCTAGGTGGCAGTACCATCTGCATCTTGTTTTAATTAGCCAAGTTTATTGTCAGAATACAAAACTTTCTGCTATTCAGGTCCCTGGCTTATTTCAGCCATCAGTCCAATGTGACTGCCACATGTCTGGGTAAGCACAATTACCGATCAGCAAAGGAGAATTATCCTCCCCACTGATCTGGCTAACAGTAACCGTGTCTAGGAGTAGGGACAAAAATATGGCTAACCAAGATCATTGTCACATCTGCTTAGTGTTTCATGACAAACTCTATTAGGGCTAACAGAACACTGTTAATTCAATTAGATCAGTGTTTTCCTTTGCTGGCCATGATGCATTTGGAAGACCAGCAACTGTATGCAGAGCATGGCAGGCAGTCCGCTGCAAGGAATAATAGCATCATAAATAATATATTAAGATGAAGACAAATCTAGCATGCTGCAGTCAGAGCACATCAGCCTTATAGATGAGTCCTGCAATATCACAAGGAGTGGGGGAGGAAAAAAGTAGCTATGACAGGAAATTACAGCAACTGTAAATGACAGGGACTACAGGAGGGAACAAAACTCATTAGGTAAGCTCTTTAAGCAAAGTGCTAGGGAAGCACAGGACAGCCTGCTGGCAGCCATGGAGGGCCTGTGAGCCCTCACATTTATCCTCCTTAAAATGAAATAGCAGGCATCAAATGCTGGATTTAAAGGAAGATGATAAATAAAGGAAGATAACTGGCACAAACCTCAGTGGAAACCTACCTCTTTCTCTGGCCTAGTACTCAGAGCTTCCACCCTCCCTGCAGAGCTGGACTGGGCTGGCTGCAGAGCAAAGAGGCTCTTCTGCACAGCAGCCCCCCAGCAGCAGCTGAGGCCCTGTCCTGTTTCGGGGCAGCACCTTGCAGGGAGTGACGGGCACAGCTCAGGGCAGAGGAGCCCTTTGTTCCAGCCTGCTGGATGTGGGCTCGCAGGAGGCCCGCACCTCACCGCCGCACAGCAGCCCTCAGCAGCCGCAGCTGGAAATCCTGTGCAGGCCTCTTCGCTGTTCAAAGAGAAAGAAACCAAAACCCACCTCTGCTTCAGCGAACATGCCAGTAAAAAGGTGCTGATACGAGCTTCCTAAAGCAATTTCTGCCTTTTGGTGAACCCTTTTGGTGGGGGTTTTCTTTGTGTTTTTTTATGTGCCTATACAGCCTTGCTGCTAGAGAAAGGCACTCCATGTCAGAAAAAAAAAAGAAAAAAACAACTAGAATATTTTGTTTCTCTGACTTCTGGGAATTATTACATAATCTTATCAATTCTCAACAAATACAATCTAAAGTATTCAGACTGTTGATAGAAATATTGCTTCTGATAGTGCAGCAAACTGCAGATTGAGCTTTTATTAAATGCTGCATAAATTGTCTGTGAAGAAACCTTTTACAAGATATGGTGGTTCAAACAATTTTACAAAGAGCAGGAGACAAAGAGTTCCTTTTACACTAAAATGGTTTCCTAGGAAACACTGCAAAATGTAACGTGATATCTCTGTGGAAGTTCAAGGACTTGTGTGTGCTAGTGTGTGTTTCTCCTGACCCTCTTTTTTTTTTCTTTTTGTTGGTGTGGTGTATGGTATTGCTGGCCAATTTTACTTTTTGATGGTAGCCCAAGAACAGAATAGGCCTGTACCACAGCAACCCACAATCTGAAGGACATTTTCCTCTTTGATAATCAAATCTCTTCTCTAAACAGAAAAGGAAAATGTTGCTAGAAACCAAGTCTTTTCATCTGTAGCACTGTGCTCTCACAATAAGGAAAAAACAATGACTGAAAATGCCCAGAGCCAAATTTCAGATTTCAGATAGTTCTCAAGGCTGATCCATGTATTTTCTCTTAACATATATGTACACAACATAAACTTATGGGATTAAAGCAGATATCAACAGCCTGCAAGGCTATCCAAAGCTATGCAGAAATCTGGACCTGTGTCTGATCTTCCTTAATTAAAGGCTAATAATCCACCCATCTGAGACAAGTACTTTGTCTTCCCTATGTGCAAAGAGTGTGTCCCCAGAAATACAAAGTTCCTAACTGGGACAACTCAGCTGTTTACCCAAAAAAGAGGTAACTGAATTTACCTGGCTGCATGCCCTTTCATTAGTTGTCCTACTCTCATAGATGCTAATTGTGACAGAGCGTTAGGTGCACTTCCTGCACATGTTAAAGACTGCAGAAATGTTGATGTATAACACATTGCCCCAGCCATAGCTAGTCTCAAGACCTCAATGTGCTGAAGTCCTTCGCTAGACAATACGTGACCCTATGCAGTGCTGCTGCTGTGTCTGTCATCCTCCCAGCTGCAGCCAGAGCATTCAGACCCATGCAACTCTGCCAGGGGCTATGTCCAGTTACAAAAGAATACTGGCACAAGTGCAGAAGCACTACAGCACTGCATACAAGGCAGCAGAGACAGACAGACAGGACCAAAGCTCCAGCATGGCTCAAAGCAAAAACACTCCATTTGTTGAAGGATATTTTAAAAGAAGTTGCTTTGCAACAGACCATCACGAAATAAAAATTTTTAACAGGGCTGGGGAGATTATTTAGGTCCTAGGACACCTTTTGCTTAGCTTGGAGGAAGGGCAAGCAGGTATTTCAGAAATAATTGCACTGAATTTAAGCAGAGTGTCATTCATAGGTGACAGGGACAGCACTGGTTGCCCCTGTCAACCTCAGTCAGAAAACCTCCCTGAGTTAGCCGGCCTCTTTGGAAAGCACACACCCAGTGCGTTGTTCCTTACCGCTGCCTCCCCACTCCTGTTGCTCAGTTTTATCACCTTGTTGCAGAGGATGGTCCTTTGTTCCTCAAGCAGAGTCTGGGAGAGTGGCAAGATGTAGTGTACATGATGATGTATTTGTCTCTGGTCCTGGGAAAAGTCCCTGGAGAATTCCTGTTGTGCAGGTGACAAATGGGTGAAAACTCACAGAACATAGTCCAGAGAGTTTAGCTCATGTTTATAAGTACAGGATAATCCAAGCAGCAGGTGAGCTAAGAGCTGACTTTTACTGTTGGTGCAGAAATGTGAACTTTGGTGAACAACTGAGTTTGTCAGGAAGCAGAGAGAGCAGCATTTGTATCCAGATGTGCGCTCTGGAAGAGTTGGAGTGCATTACTGATGGCAACACAGATGCTGACCCAAGGAAACACTTGACTTGAAACACAATTTCATTCATTGAGCTCCCTGTTTCAAAACTGGGATAGAATGACAGGTTTTCTGGGCAGGGCCACAGGACCCTCCTGAGGAAACCACATTGCCAACCTAATTAAGAACGGTGCTGAGCTTTTTCCAAACTAACCCAGGCCAGACAGCCATTGATATGGCATAAGAACAACTGCCCTCCAAGCCAGTAAATCTAAAGGAGTTACCTGAAAGTGCTCTACACACATAAGGCTGTGCCATGAAGGTAATGAATGAATACCTTATGAAGGCAAATTGCAGACTTGGGACCTGCTTTCACACACCTTGTTCATGTCCCATTAACTGTGCAGATTTAATGCTTACTTCGTGTGGTACCCAAAAGCTGTACTCATGGGCATGTTGGAAACACCAAGGACAAAGGAATAGGGCTTGGCTGATGCACCCTGTAACACTGTTTTGCTCATTCTCTGCTTTATTTGCTCTGTTGTACTAATAGGATTAAAATGCATTTAACTGAGATTTCATGTTTGAGATCAGCAGGTAATTAAGCCCACAATGATGCACTACAGTTATATAAACACTTTCTGAATAGAAATGCATCCCACTTACTTACTGCCCTAAACGCTTTACTCAGAGTGCCCAGTAAGTAAAGATTTAAATAATTCACACCTACACTCAAATAGCTCTCCTTTAGCATAACTTGTGTGCTTAAATATCTCCCAGCTGTATTACATCTGCATTTAGCATTTAAAACCCTATGCAGACAAACACACTTTTTGATGTAAGTCACACAAATTATTAGTCAGTGAGGGGAAATCTGATTTTCAGGAAGGGGCTTTCTGAAAAAGAGAAGTCTCGATTTCAGCTGAACAGACTGAAATTTTGGTTCTATCTCCCAATAGCTATTGGTATATTGGTTGAGCTGTGTAACCAGCTCAAAATAGAGATTGTTTAGATGGTCCAGTCTCACCCATAATTACCACTGATATAAGATCTGATTGATACACAGACTATGAAATGCATTAGGCTGACTGACAGAAAACTGAATAGTCTCCAGTGTATTTGCTTTTAAATGCACATGCCAGTTTGTATAAAAAATGCATCTCAATAGTAGATTTTTTCATCTCAATTTTTTAATGAAAGTATGAAAGTCTAGCTGAATATTGAGCTACTTGCTCTAATGCTGAAAAGGACTTAGAATTGGTCTAAAAGAAATAAAAACTAATTTTCAAACTTTGGATTCTGTGACTATGTCATATAAGAGAAAGGACAAGCTGTCCCCCGACCTAAATAAAGATGTATGTGGCCTTTCCCCATTGTTTTAATGATGGAAATTAAGCTGATCTATTAGCTCAGATCATCAAGGCAGTTCTTTAGATGGATTTGGCATGTCTGTGGGACTTTCACCACATGAGAAGGTGAACACCTGAGAGTCACTGCCATTCCTGTGGCTGGCACTGCAAAACACAGGTGCTGTGAGAGCTGCAGGAAGGGTTTACAAGCATCAGCCTCTGGTAAGGATGCTCTCAGCTGTCTGTAGTGGTTGCACAAAAAGTGGTCTTCGCTCCCTTCCAGCCTAGAAGTCTGCTTGCATCCACAGATCATTCAACCTGATTTGGAGATCACAGGGAACCTTCATGTATTTCAACAATAGTTTTATTCAGGCTGTTCCATTTTAAATCCTTCTTCTCTGTCTTCTTTCCCTCTTATCTTGCTTTCTGCCCTACTGGGACTACTTTGATGCAGGAGAATAGGCTGGATGACACATTTTATGAGCAGGCAAAATAAGGACTGAAGTGATTTTGTCTCGGGCTACCTGCAAACCAGCAGCAGGGACAAGGGCAGTCACAAGGTCTCAGGTCACTGTCACATACATTCTCCTCAGAACTGCCCAGCATAAGTGGCAGGCTGGAGGAAAGGCACAATTCCAGAAGCCTGGAGAGTCTGGTGGCAGAAACAGAGAATCAAAGGAAAGGGGGTTGAATGGGAAAAAAATTCTCTTTTGTGAAGGAATTACAAACAAGGCAGGCACATGGATATTCCTGTTTCAAGCAAAAAGACCTAGGAACAAAACTGAACCTTCCCATTGCATGGGTGAAGAATAAGAGGAGCTGCTGGTGTAAGAGGAGGAAGGAAAGCAGAGTGCTGCCCCAGGGGGTGAGGGCACAGGTCATCTGTTCCCAGGGATGGGAACAGTGCCTTCTCTGGTGAGGTGTGTTTCCACCTGCAGCTACAGGCTGGGCACAAGCTGAACCACCACTTTACACCAGCCCCACATGTCCCACAGCTCTTGCCCTGCCCTTGGCACTGCCTGGATGCTCACAGGACATCCTGCTGCCAAGGCACAAGTAGGCAAATGGGAGGCCTCCAGCATCAAGGAACTTCTGCTTTCAGAAATCCTCAGTGGCAAAATGATCATAAAATTCCAACTTCATTAATTGATGGATTAATAGATAAAAATATATGCAAACATATAGGTAGAGATATACATATTCATGTGGTTTACATATCTTATATATAAGACATATTAAATTTATATTAAATATATTTTATGTCTATTAAAAAGAATACCCCTCTTGGGATTATGTACCAAATTAACTGCTAATATTCAGTTCCTGCTATACTAACTTGTAACTTTCTACACAGCAGTAGGAGTTTGCAAAGCTACCCCAGTACACTGCATCCTGGCTGTGGTGAAAGTGAGGAGGGAACTCTCTTCCCAAGAAGAAGCACTCCTGCTGGAGTGAGGCATAGCAAGGTTCCCAGCAGTCTCAGAGACCTCACCTGTCCCTCAGAAATGGAGTATGAAAGGCGCAGTCATGGGAGGAAGCAACATCAGAGGTTGGAGAACTTGCAGCAGCAGGCTCTTCAATGAGTAGGGTAGGAATAGATGGTGTCAGAAAATCTGCTACCTTCCCACAGAAACAAATAATTTTATGAGACTAAATTTAAGTCATTTAAGGGAGATGGTGTGGTTTCATTCATGCAGCTAATTAATGGTTACTTAAAGGAAAAATAATAGTGTAATATTTAGAGCAATACAAATGATGACTGATTTGTTTCCAAATTGTACCAAAGACAAACAATCCACAGAGCCAGAAAAGTTTTTTTCTCCTACTCCTCTGGGGAATGAGGACTGCAAGCAACCAGCTGCCTCCTGCCCAGGGGGATGATGCTGGCCAGAAGCAATTAAACATTTGATTGTAATTGGGCCTCAGTGAAGATACATCGCTAATCAGTCATCAGCTCTACTGTGGCTGTCAAAGCAGCTTGATGTTCTTCACTTAGCCTTCCTCTTCATTTATTTGTGGAGGGTTTGTGTGTGTTTATTTTTATTTTAAGTGGAAACTAGGTCCAGGGCTACTACCTACAACTTTTTCAGCTGCTGTCCCAGGTCTGTTCTGTGCTCCTGGCCAGAGAGTGAAGGGAAGGTTTGGCAGTATGGGACTCTGAAGTCAACAGCATGACAGGCATTATGCACATGGCAAGGCCTTTCTTTTCCTGCTCTCTTTTCCTGTCATGTGTGCCCCTCAGCACAGGGGAGGAGGGTGCTTGCCATCCCTGAACAGCAGCTC